GATGTGCCCCAGAGGCCGGGGTGGCTGGAACCATGAGGGTGGCAGAGGAAAAGGGGCAGAGACCAAATTCCACAGGACCTGGGAAGTCCTGGGAAGGAGCTGGGATTCTTCCCCCGAGTAACCCGCAAACTTTGGAGCCATGTAACAGGAGAATCACAAAGGGCGTGATCAGACTGGTGCTTGGAAAGACCCCTCCCATGCTCCTGGGAGAAGACCTGCAGGGTGTGGAGGGCGGAGGCCCAGGTGGGAGGCCGCTGCGTTCTGCAGATGGCAGGCAGAGGGACAAGGATGGGGTAGGAGAGGCGAGGGCTGAGGCGGGGCCGGCCTCTGGGTCTGCTCTGAAGGCAGAGCTGACTTTACTGTTGGACTGAACATGGGATGTAAGAGAAAGAGAGAGGTCAAGGGCAAAGACACCATTTGGTGCCTAGCTGGCAGCGTGGATCGCCTCCTCCTGAGCCGGGAGACCTTGGGAGGGGAGCAAAGTGCGATGAGAACAGCGGGTACCAGCGGGACTGGACGCAGGCGGATGCGAGGGCTGTGTCAGGCTGGTTTCCACGTCAGCACTGGACCGGCCACCTGAGCTCACACCCAGTAGACTGAAATGGGTTGTTTTTCTTTAATCATTTTAATAGAGATACAACATATGTACCGAAAAATGGAGAAATCCCAAGTGTACAGCTGGATTCCTTTTTAAACTTGGCAGCAGGTGAAGACACAGAGCTTCAGCAGCACCCCACCCGCCCTCCAGTCATCCTCCCAAAGATATTAATAACCCCCACCTTGACTTCCAGTGCTGCATTGGTTTTTCCTGTTTTTGTTCTTTATGACTTTAATGGACTCGTCTGGCGTGAATTCTTTTCTGCCTGGCTTCTTTGCTCAGCATTAGCTGGAGAGACCCGTCCATGCCAGGCACTGTGCCGCCGGTTCCTCTCTTTGCTGCGTGGCTGGGCTGGCATTTCGCCATCCATTCTCTGGATGGACCTTTGGGCTGTTCCCACTTCGGGGCCATTATGACACTGTCACTGTGAACTCTAGCCCACGTCCTGCTGCGCACAGTCTCCACTGAGCATAGGCCGAGGAATGGAATGGCCAGGTCTCGGGCTGTGAACCTGTTGAGCTCTAGCAGATGCTTGGAAGCAGGTTGCAGAGCAGTTATGTGGGTGTATGCTCCCCCCGGTCACTCCAGATCCTCACCAACGTGGGGCATCTTCTGTCCTATCCAATCCGGGCCGTTCTGGTGGGTGGGCAATTATATTGTTGTCACTTAATGGGTTTCATTTGTGAGCCTTTTCTGTGTTTATTGGCCATTGCCATCTGGGCCTCCTTCTGTGAGATGCCTCTTCAGGTTTTGGCACATTTTCTTTCTCTACCCTCCATCTCTGTCTCACTGACGTTAGGAGTCCTTGATGTGCTCTGGGTCGGGGTCCTTTGTCAAATGTACAGTTGCTGTGTCTTCTTGCACCCGGGCGCTTGCCTTTTTCTCTCTCACAAGCCAGGCGAGGTGCCCAGGGATGGCTCAAGCTTGGGGGACATCAACAGCACTCCCAAATCGCCACCAGGCCTCCCCAAAGCAGACCCCCACCCAGGGAACCTATGTGCTTGCCAGGCAAGCAGGCCAGACAGGTCACGGAGCCGAAGCGCTCCCTGGAGGGCCACTGTGAATGTCCCGTTGCAGAAATGTCATAGAAGGTCTGGAACTGTCACCGTCAGTAGTAGGCGAGCATGTGTCAGCCTGGAATATGTCTAAAAGATAAGTGGGGGGCCCATGCTCAGACCTGGCATTTCACCAGTGAAGGAACACTAGCCTCTGCTTGGAGGCTGTTCTGTCACTGAATTCCACAAGGAGACAGGGCCGGGCTGGGGTGCCTCACTCCAGGCCGCCAGTACCTGGCAGCAAGGGGAGGCAGTGGGAGCCATGCCCAGCCCCGTCACTGCTAACAGCCTCCAGGAGCCAGGGCCTGGTCCGGGCATGATGTCTGTGACCATGAGGTGGGTGCTGATGGCCCCAAGGAGGCCAGCTGCCCATCCCCAGCGCACTCCGCTTGTGTGAAGAGATCTAAGGGTGACTCTGGGGTGGTGCATGATCCCTACTGCTGGACAGATGACCAGCTCCACAGTCTGCCGCAGCCCAGGTCACCGTGGCAAGGTTCAGGACACCTGCTCCTGGGTCCATGGGCACTGCCAGCCCTTCTGGGCTTCCTGGCTAGACCCAGCTCCTCTCCTGCTGCCCCAGGCACCTGAGCAGCTAAACCTTCCTGGACCAAATCCCGGATTGCTGGCTGAACTTTCGGTACCATGGACCCGGGGGTCTGTGGACCCTCGAGAATTCCCACCCCTCAGATCCTTTTCCAGTCCTGCTCACTCCCTCGCGACCATCTCACAGCAGCAGACCTTGCCCTCTTCATTCAGGAGGAACATGACACCAGATCCATCCCCCCAGCCAGTCACCAGGAGGAGGGAGCCCGGCCTGCCCTGTGCCCACACCTGCCCATCCCCTGCCCATCCTCAGACTTGATCATTGCTGGAGCAGCTCACAGGACTCAGGGCGCCCCTTATGTGGACCCGTTTATATGCAGTAAAGGATATCACAGAAGGCACTGAGGAACGGCCAGATGGACTCCGGGCGAGGTCAGGGAGGGTCCCAGGGGCAGCAGTTTCCATCCCTGCAGAGCGGGGGCATATCACCCTCCTATATGCAGATGTGTTCACCAACCCGGAAGCTCTCCAAACCCTGTGTTTCCGGGATTTTGAGGAGGCTTCATCACATAGGCATCATCTATCATGAACTCAGTCTTCAGCCCTTCTCCCCTCTGGAGGGTGGGAGGTGGGGCTGAAGGTTCCAGGCTTCTAGTCACAGCTCAGTCTTTCTGGTGGCCAGCCCTACTCAGGAGCCCACCAGAGTCACCTCATTAGAGCAAAGGGCACTCCCATCACCCAGGAAATGCCAAGGGATCGAGGAGCTTTGTGTCAGGAACCAGGGTTAAAGACCAAATATTAGAACAAAACACGCTCCTCATTTATAACTCTTAGGAAATTCCAAGGGTTTTAGGAGCTCAGTGCCAGGAACTGGGGACAGAGACCTACATTTTTTTTTTCCTTTGTTTTGCACAAGCTTTCTTCACCATTTCGAACACCAACAAAGCAAAGATGAACAGGGGAAGCAGCATTTCTTTGTAAATGACGGCATGTATGGGAAAGTGTCTACGCCACAGTGCTTTCTTGGGCTACTCATAAACTATCCACCCAGCCCAGGCGTAAGCATCGCCATGCAGAGCAGGTAACACCCGAGGTGAGTGCTGGGCCATTGGCCCGGGAGCCTAGCCAGGATTGGTGTGATTTCTGGGGTATTTTTCCCATTAAGGAGCAGACCCCTTTCTGTGGTCAGACACTGCGGCCCATCAGCAGGGCCCCAGGCCTGCGGTCTGGAGTAGCATACAGCATACGTGTCAAAACCTGGTGCCACGTGCCCCAGGAGACCTTGGAGCCTTGAAGGGCCCGTTTCCACGGTTCCCCCGTCCCCTGCTGGGTCTCACCAGTGAATGACAAACGGCCACACACTGTGCCTTCAGACTGAGCTCCTTCCCCAGCATCCCTCTTTTTTGTAGTTCATGCCCTTTCTACCTCCTGGACCGCCATTTGTGGCCACTCACTGACCTCTGACTGCATCCCTTCGGGCACCCTGGGAACCTCTCCTGCCCTCCCTTGAAACGTTCACCCACATTCATCTTGCCCATGAGATTTCCCTGAGGGTCGGGTTAGGGTCAAGCAGGACATGCTTGTGTGGATTTGAAGACCGTCTGGAAGAGGGATCCTGGGCAGACACAAAAGGGAGCAGGGGTTCATGCGGGTGGGTTTCCTCGGCTGTGACAGCAGAGAACTCTGGGTTTGAGACTTGATACACGTTGAGTTTGGGAAAAACTGACCGACGATCAAGGATAGAAAAGCCACAAAAGTCAGATAGCAGGCCTGGGGTCATATGAGTACTCTCTTCAGGCAGAATGTTCCAGAAATCAAGTGGGCTGCCTCACCTCGTAGTGGGCTCCCTGTGGGGGGCACCCAAGGAGAGACGGAGCTCCTGTCCGGAGCACAGAGGCCTGTGCCTCCCAGGATGCTCTGCGGTGCAAGGAGACCAAACCTGGGTCGCCCAGGGGTCCTGGGAAGGCTCCCCCGTCCACAGGAGTGGCCGGTGGAACAGCCACATGCCCCGGGGGCAGCTCCCCCTCAGCCGGCTCTCCCGACAGGTGGCAAGATGCCCTTGAGCAGTCCCAGGGTCCTGGGTCTCCGGGACCAAATCCAACAGGAAAAGAATGAGGCTACTCCCAGTAAAACCAAAAGTCCAGGATCTGTATTTTAAGGGAGCCATCTGGCTCGAGTTGGAACGTACACCCCGAATCCCTGCGACCAAGGGCATGAGGTATTCAGGCTGGATTAAACCGTTCAGGGCTCCGCACACTGGAGCTGGGCCACCGCGGGAGGGAATGGTGGGGCGGAGGCGTGCACGGCGAGCCTTCAAGCCCCACGACGTCAAGCTCCTGGGGGGCACCTGCAGCTGCCCAGGGTGTCCCCACAGTAGATGCTTAGTAACTGATTATTGAGGGATTCATTGGAAGAAATGGAAGGACGGAAGGAAGAGAGAAAAGAAGAGAGGTGGGAGGGAAGGAGGGGGCAGCAGAGAGAAAGAGGGAAGAGTACAAAGGAAGGAGAAATGGGGCCGCAGAGGCACAGACGCGGCAGTGGCCGCTGCAGCCCGGCATGGGCGCAGCAGAGCCCAGGGCTGACCGAGGGCAGGGCAAGAGCAGCGGGTCCCGGGAGCAAGGAAGAGCCCCTCTGCGAGCGCCAGCCAGAGCCCGCCCTTCCCTGCCAGGGAGAAGCCGAGTCAAGGCTGGAGGGTGGAGCGGAAGGATGAGACCGAGGGGGGCACCTGCTCGGACCTGCCATTGGGTCCCCCGAGCCATTGGGTAGGGCCCAGACGGGGGGTGCATAGCGAGCCGAAGATGAAGTGGGCTGACTGGGAGCTGTGGCTCCCGTATTCCTTTGATGTCCACCTGGGCAAACTTGGCAGACCCAGAGGCAAATTCTCACTCCAGAGAAGGGAGAGCCAGTGGGAGGGACCCCGGCCCCCGTTCCCTCCCACCCGGGGACCTCAGGACGCCCGTGGATGGTCTGTACCTGGCAAGCACCCACGGCACCTGGGGGGAGCTCAGGGGGCCCGAGGTGGACCTTGGCAAGGCCTCCAGCTAGACCCCAGCTCCGGCCTCCCTGCCGGCCAGGACCCTGCCTGTTCCCAGAACACCGCCTGCCCCGAAGGCCATTCACCCTGGAGGGTCAGGCCGAGCTAAGGGCAGGTTCCCAGCCCAGAGGCAGGGGTGAAGGCTGAGAGGTGCCAGCTGAAAGGCCCCACGTGCCCCGCCGGGGATGCTGGGGGCACAGCCATCCGGGCGCCCTGAGATGCCGGGAGAAGGTGAGTGAGCTCTCTGAGGGGCTGGCACAGAGCGTCTGCTCAGAAGCACGAGAACTTCTCTTTCCGCAGAGCGCAGTGCTCAGGCTGAGGCTCCAGCTTGCTGGCCTCGGAGCTCCCACCTACCTGGGGGACCTGGGGTGCAGGGAGGGCAGCAAGTTCAACAGGTGGCAGGGCTGACAGGCCTGGGAGGCCCCTGCTGGGGACCCCCTAACACTCCAGGATGGCTGTGGGTGGGCTCAGAGATCCCGCCACTACCACTGGGAAACTCAGGGGTCTTCAACCATCAGCTGCCTTCTAGGGGGGGGAGCAGCTGACGGGACGCCAAGCGAGTGTGAGCCCCTGGAGGGACGGGAGTGCCTAGGAGCCTTGGCATGGCCGGCGGCGGTGGCCCAGGGCCCCCTCTGCTGCCCCCTGTGCCTTCTCTCACTGAAGGTGGCTTCTGGATGCAGAGAACCATGCTTGACAGAACCATGACAGAGCCAGGAGAGCTGGACCAGCGGCAGGCAGCCTGTGCAGGCCCGGAGCGGCGTAAAAATTTGGGCCTTGGGTCTGAAAGCTTGAGAGTTCAAGACGGTGGCAGCAGACCATCAAACCCAGCACAGGGGCCTCCAGAGGGCAGGCGCCTGCACGCCCACACACCCCACAGCCAGCCCACAGCAAGGGGCAGAGGGAGGCGAAGTCACAGTGAGGGAAGCAGAATGTCATAATGGGCGTTGCAGGTCACACATGATATGTACAAAGGTCCTGTGGTCACATGCTGAGGATCCTAGTGAGAGGCCTGGAGTCTGCCTCCCTTTACATCCTATGTCTCAGTTGAGCCTCTAAGTAACCCCATGAGATGGATGTCATTAGTCCCGCTGTACAGAGGAGGGGCTCCTAGAAGTGAAGGGACTTGAGGACACTCAGCCGGCAGAGCAAGAATCCAAAGCCAGCCCAGGGGACCCTACAAGGCTGTCTCGGCCACCCTGGCTGTGCCACAAGGCGACTTCCCTCCTTAGCACTGCTGAGCGCAGCCCTGACTCCCCATCCGTGGGTTCAAGACCCAGCTCTGCCCTTACTTATGGATCTAGCAAATTGCTCAACTTCTCTGGGCTTCAGTTTCTCCATCTGTAAAATTGATATTGCATTAATAGACCCTACATTCTATAAGGTGACTTTTCATGACATGCAAAGAACACCTAGCCCCACACACAGAAAAGGCCCCAAATACGTGTCCTCCCTTGATGCCATCTGGTTCTTATTTGCTGTCCTTCCTGCCCCATGCCATCTCCCACCTCACCCTCCAGCTTCTCAGAGTCAGGCACCCACCAGTAAACAGACCTGCAGGAAGCCAGGCCACCGGAGGCCATGAGGGGCCACGGGGCAGTGCGAGCAGGGCTCAGGCCACTGGCAATCCTGCCTAGGTAGGGCGCATGCACGCACGCACGCATGCACTTTCTCCTGCGCTCCATCTCACCCAGGCTGTGCCGTGCGGCTACACCTGGTGGCTTTTAGCCCAGCACAATCCTGGGCCACGAAGGTCTCCCTCTAGTGGTCCCAGAAACAGCAGCTGCTGCTTGGGCCTGATTTCCAACCCCCAGCAGAAAGCAATGGAAACCTGGCTCCTGCCCAGCAGAATCCAAAGGAGCCCCAGCTCTCTCCCAGCTCCCAGCTCCCAGCCAGGCCTGGACCCGTGAATTCTGTTCATTCACTCATTTGAGCAACAGAACTAAGCACTTGCCAGCAGCAGCCCAAGCCAGAGGCTCAAATCTCAAAGCAGAATATGGCCAGGGACTTCAAGGGGGCCCCAGGCTCAGGAGTGTAAACAGGCCACCGTCGGGGGCCACGTGCCACCCCAGGCTCACACCATTCCCAGGGCTAGGAGAGTGGGGATGAGTCCCACAGCCCTGATGTCCGGGCTAAAGGAGAGAAGAACAGTCCAGGAGGAAGGGCACGGGCAAGTCCTGGCAGCAGGAAGCTGCGTGCAGAGTTTGGACCTTGAAGCAGTGGGCTTTGCTGAAATGGGCAGGGGCCAGGTAGGAAGAGACCCAGTCGGAGGGGTGAACTTCCCCACAGGGAGTGGGCATGCAATGAATGAATGAATGAATGAACCACGTGTGTCCATAGCACTTCTAACAAGATTCCAAGGTGCCTGTCCCCGGTCTGCTGATTGGACTTAGCAGGATAGAAGGCAGACCCAGACTTTAACAGTAGTCCAGATAATTCTGAGATCAAGTCTGGAAACTTCCTGAGCTCCCTGTGGCATCATTTAGTTGCCTGGGCAGGCTCCAGCTTGTGAGCTGGGAGGTCTGGAGATAGAGCAGACCAGGGGGTGGGGGGTCCAGGAGGGACCCCAGGGCTAACGGTGCTAGGAGCAGCTAACCAGCACTTGGTGACTTCAGCAAGCCCATGCTGTCTGAGCCTCCTGTGGTGCCACTCCAGAGAGGAGGTGCCCGGTCCCCAGCCTGCTCGGAGAGCTCTGAAGGGCAGACGGAGGCTGGAAGCCTGAAGCTGGGGCCTTTGCCGTGTGACAGCCACATGTCTCCAGTTCTCTTCGCCTCTATGAGACCTGGTTTTTGCACAGTCAAATGGGACCATAAAAATCCATGGGTTCCTTGTGAGCTTCCTTTTTTCTGCCTTTTTAACACAAAGTTTTGGCAAAATACACATAACACAACACATCTGCCATTGTGACCATTTTTAAGTGTTTTAATTCAGTAGCGTTAGTACATTCACACCGTTGTGCAACCATCACCGCCATCCATTTCCAGAACAAGTGTCCTTAGAAGAGACAAAAACAGACACAGAGAACAGAGAGAGACCTGAGACCGCAGAAGCAGAGACTGGAGGGACACGGCCACAAGCCAAATAATGCCTGGGCCCCAAGAAGGTGAAAGAGGACGAATTCTCCCCGAGAGCCTTCGGAGGGAGCGCGGCTTACTGACACCAAGTTTGCAGCCTCCTGGCCTGCTAGACGGTGAGAGAATCCATTTCTGTTGTTTTTAAGTTTGTGGTGGTTTGTTCGGACGGCCCCCGGACACCAGGAGAAGGCCATGGGGTGAGAGGCTCCCCCATGCACCACGCGCTGGTCTTTTCTTCCCATTTCACAGACTCATAATGATTGGCAGCTTGCTTCCCAGCAGCTTGCCTGCCCAGAAGTCCATTCATATTTCTGAAGTCTGCCTCGGAACCTTGCCGGCCGGGTCGGGCCCCGCACCCTGCCAGTCCCACCAGCATAGACACAGAGAGCTTGCTTTTTCCAATAAAGATGTTTTGTGTTCTACAGGCATTCTGTTATTATGATTATTATTGACAGGCAACTTTAGGGACATAAAATTGCCACTGTATTTTGGGAAGTAAATTTTATTTCCGTGGCTTTAAAACACCAAACAAGCAAAAATAATAATCCCATTAGTAGCTGAATAGTGCCATAATTCTGTAGATTATCAATTTTACTGCAATCATAACTGCAAAATACCAGGAACCCATTGCAGCAAGATGATTGGGAATAAACATCACTGCTGGGCCCCAAACAGAACCAGTAATTCCACTCTGGCTGCAAAGGAGCCTCATACTGGTGAGCATAAAATATGCTGGGTAGGTAACTGTAAAATACCAGCTCTGAGCTAATATTCAAACACTGCAGTGGTATTACTGGAAATCCCTTTTATGCCTCTGACAAGACACAAAATAAAACAAATGTTTCCCTTTGTAGTTAAATTTTCAGTGATCCTGCTGACAAGAAATTTTTACTGTTCTAATTGTAAAGCTATAAAATGGAAAAAGAAGCCATTTCAGCTCCGGAGAGAGATGGAATGATAAAAATCCAGGTTCATCTGCAAGAAATCTATGGAATGGCTGGGACTAAGGCTGCCAGATAAAATACAAGCTGCTCAGTTAAATCCGAATTTCAGATAAGCAACAAACAATGTTTTAGCATACGTACGTTGCACATATTGCATGGGGTGTACTTATACTTAAAAAATGTCATTGTTTATCTGAAATTCAAAATTTAACTAGGCATCTGGTCTTTTGTCTGTTGTACTAAATTTGGCAGCCTTGGGTGAGGCCGAAGAACAAGGATGAACCTCCAGCCCCATCAGCGAAGTCTTGGCAGGGAGACATGCTGGGCTCTGGGCACAGGTGCTCCAAGGCGGCCAAGCAGGGTATTCTTGGTCTCAGTGGTTGAACCAAGCCCCTGAGCTCTGGGCGAGGAGAGGAGGGGGCGCTGGGCGGTGTTGACACAGCCTCTCGGCAGGGATATTTGTAGGTACACAGGTCAATGAGGAGAATAGGTGTGACTCTGACAGGGATTGATCACATTTCATTCAATCCTCACCTCATTTGATGGGAAGTGGGGGGCATGCTGATTGCTGTTTTGCAGAAGGAGACTGTAAATGGCTGGTGCAGTCACACAGCTAAATAGGGACCCTTGGGACCCGCAGAGCCCGAGATCTTCACCTCGGGGTGAGGGCAGGACGAGGTTTGCAGTGGGCATTCCTACTAGCAGGGCAGAGCTTGTTACCTTGGGAGGCTGCACCTTAACAGCTTTGCAGAAGGCCTGGCTTTAGAACCCGCCTGAACCCTCCTGAGATGCTCAGGACTTGGAGGAGGAAGGGCTTGTCTGGGATCAGAAATTGCATGATCCAGTTTTGAGCAGCCACTCATTTTCCAGGCCTAGTAGCCAGGAGATTTTTGGCTTTGCAAAAATTCCACTTTCAGAGGCAGACACCTTTGTCCCCTCGCCTTCCAATAGAAGGAAGTTAGGAGCATGAACCCCAGGGACCCCCGGAATAGACTTCACCCCAAGGGGGCTCCATGGATAAGCTTCCAGGAACCGCTTACATAAACAGCCCTCTTCCTTGCTGTGGCCCGTCTTGGGGTTTTGCTGAGCTCCAGTGGTGGCCATGGATGGGGGTGCTGAAGGAGACCCCTGGGTCTCGGAGGGGCACAGCAATGACACCCTCCCTCCCCGGGGAACCCCTCCCCCACCTCCCACTTCAGGTGCTCCCCTGGCTCCTGCAATGCCGCAGGCCCCCCTGTTGCTGGACACACAGCTCTTTATTCTGCTGTTTGTTTTCTCTTAATGCAGATAAGGTGGAAATGTAGCAGCCTTCCCAAACCACACCCAGAAGCCGCTCCTCCTCAACACCTGCACTGCCCCCCTCCCCGGGCCCCACCCAGGTGATCCACCTCTACCCTGCAGTCTCCCCGCCCCCACCAGGGCCTCCCATGGCTCGCGGGTAACCTGCAAAGCCAGCTGCACCCACGGTGTCTCCCAGGCGTCCCCCTCGAGCCTCGGGCCTCCTGGCCCTTCCCAGAACATCTGCCCAGCAGGTCCTCCAGGACGGCTGTTGCTCCAGCTGTCCCCCAGGGTTCTTTGTGGTTCACACCTTAGGAAGCCTTCAAGCCCTGGCTCCCTCACATCCGGACAGTAGTGGTCAGAGACGCCCGATTACCGCAGGCCTATAACCCGCGCCGCCGCACGCCTCATCCGCCAGCCAGCTCTCCTTCCTCCCTCAGATGTACTGTGATCCTTTCTTCCTTGCCACATGCACGTCCCCTTGCTGGAGTGGGCACTCACTAGGCGGCGTTTGGCCGCTGTGTCCTTCCCAGCCCCTCGAACAGTACCCCGCGCCCAGCAAATAGTTGCACTGGAAATGCAGGAAGGAAGGAGGTCGCTCTGCACTGGCGCTGTCTGGACGTCACTTACTCTGGAGTGCAGACCAAGCGGCGGCCCAGTCACCTGTGGGTGGTGTGTCCCCTTTGCCTAGTCCTTGTCTCCCTACCTGGATTAAATACTGAGAGCTGCATGCGACTTTCCTCCTCCACCCCGGGTCCCAGCCCTGAGACCCTGCACCCAGTAGATGGCCCTGCTGGGGACCCCAGGATGGCAGCTGCGGGGATGGGGCTTCTCCCCTGGAGCGGGTTGACTGGCAGGGGTGGGGCCTCAGCTACAAATGCTCTGCCTAATGCTCTGTAGAACCGCCCCCCCACTTGCAGTCCAGCCCCCTCTTCCTCCACTGCTTCAGGTTTGAGCACACAGCAGTGAGAGACAAGGCCTTTTTGGTATCCCCAGGCAAGGTGGGGCTGCGGCCAAGACAAGGGTGCTCAGAGCAGCCTGCTCCGGGGGCTGGCCACGGCTTGCCATGCCAGCCAGAGGGCAGAGGGCCACGGTGGCCTCTGGAGAAGCGCTAGAGCCCAGACTCTCTCCCTGGCCATCCCCGGCCCAGGAAGGTGGGTGCAGAGGGGCCTGTCCCCTGGGCCACTGCAGGGCTAGCCCCAAAGACAGAGGTCCTCCCCAGGGGTGCCCCTTGGGCACCGTCTCCACCCAGCTGGCTGGTCTCCTGGAGGCCAGGTCACAGGGCAGAGCTGCTGGCCTGAGAGGGTGGGGATGGAGGCTTTGCTCCCCAGATGCTGCACCTTCCTTCCTCTTTCTAGAAAACAGGGGACTGCCCTGTGGGCCCTGGGAACCTGCCCAGAGGTCTCCCTGAGCCCACGCCCAGCTGCCTGCCCCTGAGCCGTGGGGGAAGCGGAGGCGAGAGTGCCACCAGACAGTGGGAGAGCAGAGAATGTCGGGGGTGGGGGGCTCAGGAGGGAGTGTCCACTCAGAGCGCAGCCCCTGCAGCCTCTGCCGTGTGCCCCTCTGCGGCGCCCCACGGAGGGGATGTGAGAGGCCCGGGTCCCCCAGAGCATGGTCACAGGGAACTCTGAAGACCTGGCCCACCTGCCTAGGAAACTGCCCACTTCTGGCCTGCCCAGGGGCACCCTGCCCCAACCCAGAGCAGGTGGCGAGCAGCTTTCTGCAGAGCTGGGCAGGTGGCCTGGGCCCCTGGGCAGGCAGGTGTTCACTGCAGACTTGGCTGTGAAAGTGCCTGGGCCAGCAGCCAGGTTGAAGAGGGGGGCACCGGGCATCCCCCAACTCCTTAGCAAGCTGCACCAACCAGGGCAGGAGTCCCCACTGGTCCCTCTTCTCTCCCCAGTTGTCACCGCGTGGCCCTGCCCCACCTGTCTGGGTGTGAGATAGCCCCGGCTCTTTACTTTCCAGGGAGGGGTTAGTCAGGGACTAGACCCAAAGGGGGTGCGACAGAGGAGCCGGGGAGCAGGGAAGGGAAGGGGTGGGGAGCAAGTAGGATACAGCTGGGGGCGGGGCTGGGCCCTGGGCGGCGTTAGCTGGCACCCACCCCATGGTTACGGGAATGGAGGAGGGCCTCCTGGGGTCTCGGCAGAGCTGCCTGCTCGTAAGTCCCTTCCCCAGCGGCCCCTCCGCGCCTCCCCACCGCCCGAGCTTGGCCCCACTCCTGGCTCTTGCTGCAGGTCTCCTGTGGCCCTGAGGCCCTGAGGCCCTGGGGATGGGTGGGGTGGCCACCCTGCTGGCTTCGCCCCTCCTTCTGCAGGGCCCTCCTCTGTGACCTTAGTTTACAGGAAACAGGGTGCTAACGCCCAGGTTTACGGGCCATGTGGGGAGCAACAAAGACCTCTGTGGAAGACTGGGTGGGGCCGTGCGCCCTGAGCAGGTGGAGGCCCCGCCTGGCTGGCCTCCCTCTGAGCAGGGATCTGAAGTCTGAGCACCCAACCCTCAGGCAGGCTGTCCCCCACGTCACCTCTGTCCATGAATCCCTCACAGCAGACCACTCCACGGAAGGCTCAAAACCATGCCCAAGGTCCTATGGGCAAGGCCAAGGAGCAGCGCCAAGGAGCTGGGTGTCCGATGCAGCGGCCGCCTCACCGGGTGTCGGGAGGTCGAATCAGGACGGTGCCTGGGAGCTTGGGCTTTCAGCGCAGTTAGCTAGACCAGGACAGGCATCCTGCAGCCACAGAGGGCTCAGGCTTAAGCTGGGGTCCCAGAAAGCTAGTGGGTCAGCTTGTCTAGGGCACCAGACCAAGCTGGAGAGGCAGGCACAGAGGGTGCAGGCCCAACACTGAGACCTGAGACCCCCGAGGACACTGACAGAAGGACAGAGGCCACACGGGGTCAGCTTGGGCCTCATCTAACGGATTCCTGATGCCGACAGACCCAAGACCCATGGGCGTTTCTTAGTGTGAGTGTGGTGCAGGTCTCTAGGGCAGCAGACAGGATGGGGGTGGGGAGGTGCGGGGCCCTAGCGGTCAGCAGGCATGGGTTCCAGCCTCGGCCGCTGGCCTTTGGCGCTCATCCAGGGGCCCCATGTATGAGTGTCCTGAGGCCACTACAGCAACCACCTCCACCCGCAGGACTTTCAACAGAAATTTATCCTTTTACGGTTCTGGAGGCCAGAGTCTGAAATCAGGGTGCCAGCAGGGGCCATGCGGTTTCTGAAGGCCCCAGGGGAGGCTCCTTGTGGCCACGTCCAGCTCCTGAGGCCCAGACGCTCCTTGGCTTATGGCTGTCGCCTCCGTCTCTCCAGTCTCTGCCTCCGTCCTCACGTCCTCATGCGGCCTTCTCTTCTGGGTCTGTCTCAGATCTCCCTCTGCCTTCATCTTACAAGGACACCAGCCACTGGATTCAGGCCCCCCCCAGATAATCCAGGATGATCACATCTCGACATTTTTAACTTAACTATATCTGCAAAGACCCTGTTTCCAAATAAGGCCTCATTCTCAGGTTCTGAGGTTTAGGACATGGACATAGCTTTTGGCGGGGTCACCATTCACAGGGGAGCCTCACTGAGACCTTTTAAGGGCTTCCTTCCCCGCACGACCTTACAGCGGGGTCCTCACTCCTGAGTTTGTGCCACAGAAAGGCGTGGCATTGGGAGGGGTGTGGGGTTGGGCGGTTGGAATGCCTCCCCAAATCCCTTCTGTCCTCCTGCCGGGCCAGGGACCACTCCCAGCCGCTCCTTCAGGAGGCGCAGCCCTGTGATGAAATCTTCCCTGAGTGTTGCTGTTCCTCCTCCCCGAGGGCCGAGGGGGCAGCGAGCAGAGCAGCCGCGGAAGATTCACCTTGTGATGACCCAGTGGCCGGCTGCCTGGGTCCCTGGAGGGAGGGGCACTTCGCTGACCAGAAGCGCCGACCTGGGCCGTCACAGGAGGAAGTGGACCTCTCTACAAACCACAGCTACTGCTTGGAGCACTTGCTAGAGCCGCTAAGCACAGCCTAACCAGTACCAGTTACAAGAAACAGAAGCCCACCTCAAGCCAGCTTAAGTCAAAAAGAGATCGAAACGCAAATCAAAACCTGCAGGAGACACCACTTCACGCCATTAAGATGGCTGTTAGGAAAAAAAAAATGTTCAACAGCACGTATACTGAAATTGGAACAATACGGAGATTAGCGTGGCCCCTGCTCAAGGGTGACACATGATTTCGTGAAGTGTTCCATATTTAAAGCAAACAAACAAACAAAATAACAAGTGCTGCTGAGGATGTGGAGACATTGGAACCCTCGTGCACTGCTGGCGGGAATGTAAATGGGTGCAGCAGCTTGGAAACAGAAGGGCGCTTCTGCCGAAGTTAAACAGAATGACCCTGTGATCCAGCAATCCTACCATCGGGGATATGCCCAGAATAATCGAAAGCAGATATCCGTACATGAATGTTCAAAGCAGTGTGATTCACAGCAGTCAAAAGGTGGAAACAAACCAAGTGCCCATCAATAAATAAATGGATAAACAAAACGCAGCCCAGCCACACACAGAATATTACTCAGCCTCAAAAAGGAAAGAAATCCTGACAGTTGCCGCAGTGTGGATGACCTTGAGGACATGATGCTAAGTGAAATAAACCAGTCACAAAAGGACAAACATTGCATGAGTTCTCTTACATGATGCACCTGGAGTAGTCAAATTCATAGAGACAGAAAGTAGAATGGTGGGGACCAGGGGCTGGAGGAAGAGAGAATGGGGGTTCAGTGCCTAATGGGGACAGAGCTTCAGTTTGGGACAATGGAAACGTTCTGGAGATGGATGGTGGAGATGGCTGCACAAGAATTTGAACTTAATGCCACGGAACTGCACTTCAAAATGGATGAAATGGCAAATTTTGTGTTAAGCATATTTTACCTCGATTTTTAAAAAGTTGAAAAATACCTTGGCAAGAAGAAGAAAATATTAGACAAATGTGGGAAGATGATAATTACAGAATCTGGCTGAGGTTCTATGGGGATTCATCGTGTCTTTCTGCCTACTTCTGGTTTTTTTTTTTCAGGGTTTTAAAAACTTTTTTCATAATGAAAATTAAAAATAAAAAGGGAGAATTGAGTTATCAATCTTGCTGCTTCACAGTCTTCTAACAGAATGATGCATCCACACCCTTAACTCTGGGCATAGTTCTCCTTCTGTTCCAGCTGCTATAGCAGAATACCAGAGACTGGGTGGCTTAAGAGCCACAGAGAGTTATTCTCACACTTTTAGTGGATGGAAGTCCAAGGTCAAGGTGCCAGAATGGCAGGCTCTGGTGAGGTCCCTCTTCCCGATTCACAGCGGGCGCTGCTCACTGTGTGCTTGCATTGTGGAAAGGTCATGGAGCTCTGGGGGTCTTTTTGAGAACACTAGCCCATTCATCTCCTAATCACCTCCTAGAGGCTCCACCTAATATCATCATCCTCGAGGGACAGGATTTCAACATATGAATTGCAGGACGGCACAGACATGCACCCCATAAGCACCATATGACTTACTTGGTCCAATGATGTACACTGAGTAGGGACTTCAAATGCTCATGCACAATAAACTGTCTCTCTTGCACTGCTGAATAGCCCAGGAAAGAACACATCTAGGGTAACCTGCTGGTCAGGGAGGATAAGAAACATACCGAGCAAATCTGGACGCACCTACACCCCAGAGCTAAGCCCAGCCTGGATCTGCTAAACCCAACAAGCCCACAGAGATAAGAGCAAAAATCAAAGCTTACTGTTGAATGCCACAGAGATTGTGGGGCTGTTTGTTATGAGGCCTGATTATGGTGATGGCTGACCGATACAGGGAGCTTCCTCCACAACCCAGGGAAGTCACTAGTCAGTACTGTGACTGACAGAGGGGTGCTCTCTGGTTAAGTTAGGCAGAAAAGTAGCTTGTGGGTGCATTGGTAGCACAGAACAGGCTGCATAGGAGAGCACCCATGGCCCCTTACCGCATGCTATCTGACCCCATGCGGTCAGACCCTGTGAACCATCCTAAACAACCCTTCACCTTGGCATCCTGCCCTCAAGCTGCAAAGATCCAAGAGAGTTGCCAGAGCCCAGGAGAGGAAGCAGGGCCCTCCCTCCCTCCCTCCCTCCCTCCCTCCCTCCTCTCCTGGGATTCCTGCAAAGGAGTAAGGGCAACGGGATACCAAGCAACCAAAACGACAAATGTCTGCTGGCAGGAATGCAGGGGGCTGCCAGAGGCAGTTTGGGCTCCCGCTCCGCCTCCGCCCCTGTGTCCCAGTGCTTTAGAGAGGGTGCCTCCTCTCCTCCTGAGCCGCGTGCATCCGCATGGCTTCCTAGGTCCCGCGCACCTAGCTGCACCACCTCTGGGGAGACTGGCTTCTCTTCCTCAGCTGCAGAAGCCCTTGGGTGGGGGGCCCAGGAGCCCCCACTGTGACCAAGCCCAGGGCAGGGAGGGGCAGTTCCCAGAGGTGAGGACGAGGATGAGGGAGGGAAACAGCGGGGGTCACTGCGGGGTGCTCTGGGAGAAGCGGGTTCCAGCCCACACTCCAGCCTGGACTGACCTGGTGACTTGGGTAGGTGCATGAGTCCGCTGTGCAGCTACTCTGCGTCACAGGCCTGGCCTAAGGCCTGCGGCACACGGCACACCTCAAGCAGAACACAGCAGTGTAGACAGCAGCCCTGGGCGGCTGAATGCTAGGACAAGGCCTCCCAACCGGAGCTGCTGTTTGGGGGACAGGGAGGCACACCCACCCACCCACACCCACTGTCCTCCAGCCTGTCTGCTGCCCATACCTCCTGCTCGTGAAACCCCAGAGAAGGTGGAGGAACATGGAGCCCACTGATGTGGCCCCCACAGGGCAGCCCCCTGGGTACAGGGCAAGCAGGGATGGGTGTGGATGGCCGGGGACATCTGGCAGGGGGCATGCTGGTTCCCCTGGACAGCTGCTGGGATAAGAGCCAATGCACTGTGCTTCCTGAGCAGGCCCCTCACTTGCAGATGCACACCTTTGAGGTGACCCTAAGTCACCTCCACTTCTCTGTCCCCTCACCTCCAGGTCCACAAGTCCCTCAAGTCTGTTGTCCCCTTCCTTCTGTCCACATATCAGAGCTGTCACAGCCTCTTTGTCCCCACAGCTCAGGCCCTGTCCCGGCTCCTCTGGACCCAGCTCTCTGGATGTGCCCCACAGCTGCAGGGCCGGGGTTTCTAAGTGTGCAGCCCACTCTCCCAGCAGCCACAGGGGAACTGGTGCTGTTCCTGCACTGGCAGGCGCATCAGAGCGCGAGACCTTGAGCCAGACAAGACGAAAAGGGCATGTGAGCCCAGCGCCCGCTGTTTCCTCCCCGCCCTCCCTTCCTTCCTTCCTCCTTCCTTCCTTCCACAAGCCCTCATCTGTGCTAGGCTCTGCACTGAGCTTCTGCAGACCCATCAGAGAACAAGCCCACGTCCCTGCCGTCATGGGGTCTACGTGCAGGTGTTGGGAGGAGTCAGTGAGATGCCCCTGTCACATGCCCAGAATGGCAGGAATGAAAGCTATGGAAATGTTTGCTATTATTATTAATTGCTATTTCCCATCTAGCCAGCCAGCCAGCCCTGTCCCTGTCCACAGCAATGTGAGGGTACTCATGGATGTGACCCCTGACCCAGCCTGCAGGCATGGTAGGAGTGCTGGCCTGGATGGAGAGCCATGGGACCCAGAGCCAGCCCCACAGATCCCCAAGGTTCACAGGACCCTGCCTAGAGCCTGGCCATGGGACAGGAGTGCAGCATGCTGAAGTGCCCCGTCTCCACCTTGCCTGGGAAGATAATGGAGCTGAGCTGTGGCTGAGGGGCAGGACCTGGCAGCAAGATGCCAGGAGGTCGGGGCTCAGGAAACGGGGCAGCTCCCAGGCAAAGGTGATCCCTGGTCATGCCGAGGCAGCCCTAGGTGCAAATTAAATGTGTAGCTGTCGGCCCCAGCCGGCAGGCGGCCTGCAGCCAGCAGCCTTCCCCTTATCATCTGCAGCGAAGCATTTACAGTCAGTAAACGGTCTAATTAATTCTCTTCAAAGACCTCTCAATTATTCATCCCGGGCTACAGAGAGAACAATTAGAGCGTCACCGCTCACTAGCGGCTCTGCGAGGAGCGGAGGCAAGGCTGAGCCCCAGAGCTGAGCCCAGGGCCACACCACCTCGGTGGTCCCCAGGGGCCACTCCTCTGACAGAAGCAGGCCTTGCCCCTGGGGTGCAGCTGGGTGGAACCCCTCTTCTCCCTCAAACCTGCAAGCAGCCTAGATCATTTTCTTCACTTCTCAGGAGAAAACACCAGGACTCCAAGTGTGACTTGTGTCCATCAGCCCGTCAGAGCAGACCTGCGGACACATAGCAGGCTGTGTGCAGCCTTCCTGGGCGGACAGCCAGGGGTAGCTGTGGGGCTTGCCCTGGACCTGGGCTAGCCCTCTCTGCCCCTGGGAAAGAGCGTGGTGCTGGGAGGAGGGCAGAGAGGGGAGAGCCAACCCCACCAGCAGCTGCAGGCCAGGCTGGGCAGCTCTGACGCCCCACCAGCTGCAGGGGAGGTCACCGCTGGCGAGCTGGAGGGCAGCGAGGGGCCTTGGGCTCCCCTGAAGCCGCCTGGTGCCCAGCAGGGCTCCTTCAAGGCCAGGCCTTAAGACAGGAGCTAGTGTCCCTTCTCCCCTCCAACTTCCTGGAGTCGCTCAGGTCCCATCGCTGGCGACCTGAGGAAGTGGGCAGCCAGCCTGTCCTGTTCAACTCTCCCGCCCAGGGCCCCACTGTCAGCTCTCACACCCAGGCTCCCCCAAACAGCCCCAGCCGGCAAGTGGAGGGTTAACTCCCAGCCGCTCCCAGACCCGCAGAGTGGGGGTGGGGGCCGGGGGCGTGCCTGTCGGGAAGTATGGATTTCTGCAGTGGTTTTACTGGAAAAGCTGTAGCTGAAGGTGGGAGGGGGTCACCATGGCAACTTCTGGCTATGGGAACAGGTTGGCTGGTGGGAATCAATTCTTCCAGGGGCCCAAAGGGGCCCGGCTGGAGCTCCGCACCCCGGGGGCCCCACGCTGCCTCCCGGGGGTCCTCACCGTCCTGGGGTGGCACAGAGACCCACCCCAACCTGGAATTACCGGTTTCCCCGCCTCCCTCCAGCAACCTCTCCCTGGGGCTTGGCCCCTGACTCAGCCACCCCGCCCCCATCAGAGCGTCCCCCACACGCGAGCTGTTAATCGATGAACCAATTACCCAGCGGCCGCTGGGGAGCTCAGGGAATCTCCCTGTTGAAAGAGCTTTACTTCTGGAGAGAGGCTGGACTCCGTGGCCTGGGGTGAAATGCAGGGAATGCCGTGCGTGAGACCCCACCACCTCCAGCCCAGCCTAACGGAGGGAGTCAGGATTTCCGGGGGCCGGAGGGCTCACCCCGACCAGGTCCCAACGCAAAGATTCCGGCCCCAAGCGGCAAGTTCAAGAAGTCCTCCCCACTCCCTGCACAAACACGCACGCCCTACTGGCTAGGGACAAGGGGCCCCCAGAAGCCCCAAGACTGGGGGGGGTACTGGCTAGGGACAAGGGGCCCCCAGAAGCCCCAAGACTGGGGGGGGGTGAGGCAGCCCGGAGTCACAGGAGGCTCCTGGGTGCACCTCCAAATCCTGACTGGCCCTGCCCGCTCTCTGCCCCAGTGAAATTCCAGGGAGCGGGTGTCGACCCTGCCAGGCTCTCAGGTGGCCCGGGTGCTCCCGGCCCGACCTTCCACCGGGACCCTCCGCTGGGCCCTGGGCAGCCGATTCAGCTCCCGGCCCTGGAGCGGCCTCTGGGTGCAGGTGGGACCTGGGGAACCGGGCAAGGGGCGCTGAGCATTGCTGGTGGGAAGGGTCGGGGACTCCCGAGCCCTCCAGGCCCAGGTTCCTGGGGACCCCAAGGGGCAGCAGGGATTGGCCTCGGAGCCCCCGTGCAAATCCTGCAGGCACACGGTGGGAGGGTGCTGGGGAGTTGGGGGTGCGTCCCAAAGGCGCTTCCAGGAATCTCCAGTGGAGCTGCCCAAAGGGCCGGAGGGCATATGCAGGCAGAGGACAGAGTTGGTGAGGGGACAAGCGAGTGGGAGGCCCCATCGACTACCCTAGTCCGGCTCCAGGGAAGACCACCCTCCCGAGTCCATAAGGCACCTACCCTGCTCTGCTGGAGGTCATTAAACAGATGAGTCCTCAGAACCTCAGTGCCCTCATCTGCAAAATGGGCAGGAGAAGACCACTCACGTCTCCAGCCGGCACTGAATGAAACCACTAATGCCACATTAATAGCTAAGGGGATTCCGAGGTCGCGCCCCTTCTCTCCTCCCCACAA